GGAAGAGGGGAGGACTGTGAAGAGAGGAGAGCCTGGAGAGCTCAGCAGAATATCACTCACCGTCCAGTCTAGCTCCCTCCTTTTACGATGTGAAAATTGAGACTCAGAGAGGGAGAGTAATTTGTCCAAGGTAATACAGCAAGTTAAGAGCAGAGCTGAGATTAAGATCTAAATACCTAGTCAGTGACTTGGGAGAAAAAGGGAGAATAGGAGAGGGGGCTACTGGGCCAGGGCAAAGGACAAGGACTCCATGAGGCAGGCAGGAAATTCAGAGAAGCCAGAGGGGAAGGAAGGAGTCTGGAAATGGGGGAGCAACCTTGTCAAGCATGGAGAACTTGGGCAAGAGGAGACTCTCATTCTAAAAAGGCCAAATGAATATGGGCCCCAGACTAGTTTTGGGGAGGGTCAGGCATAAGGGGGGGAGGGAGGGGGGAGACAAATTGAGCCCACTACAGAGTAAAGGAAGTCACTCCTTTGCATGGAGGCAAGTCTGATAGCCTCTGTAGCAGCTGGGGACTCATAGGACTCAGCGTCAGCCTGATCTGACAGGCAGCGCCTCCTGGGATGTTGGGATCTGTCAGCGGACCCCTCTCCATCCGTGGGCCCCTCTCCACCACCTGGCCCTCAGTGCTGTGCTCTGGACCAGGTCCTGTGTGGAGGGACACTTGGGAGGGCTGAGCGGAAGTACTAGGAGAGCGCAGTGTGCTGAGCACGGTGGAGGCGCCCAGGTGCAAAGGCATGTGTGTGTGACTCAGTAAGGAGCAGCCGGGGCTATTGAGGAACAGGACGCAAGCTCCGAAACAGAAACTGACATAACGCGGGATAGACAGAGCGCCTAGGGGGCCAGGCCGATGGAGGAGGCGTGTTGTGGGCAAGAGGAGCGGAAAGACAGCGGCTGCTGCGGGAGTCAGAAAAGAGGTGTTGGAAGACACAGAGAGGTTTCAGGTTGGGAAATGTGGTCTTCCTCAGTTTCCCCATCTATAACTTGGGAGTAATAATAGTGCCTCCTTCCTAGGTCTGTGAGGGCTGTTAATACACACAGAGTTTAGAATACTGCCTGGCATGTGGTAAATGCGCAGTTAGCTTTTATTTGTGTCAAGAAGTCACATAGAAAGTCAGAGAAGTGCATTGCGGAAAAATCAGGGAGAGCCTCAGATGACTGGCTAAGAGCCTGGATTGCACAATTTTGAGGAGGGGATCAGCATCCCCGCAGAGAGAAGACGGAAGACGACGGAAGACTGTCAGCAAGAACAGTGGGCAGGGTGTTAGGGCATGAGGATGCTGGTTCCAGCTCCTCCTCTAACTACGTTATCACTTTGAGCAAGTCCCGGGACTCCACTGGTGTTCTGTTGTCTAAGGTCCCTTCCAAATTCTGCACTGCGAAGTGGTGCAGACCTGAAAGAGAAGGCTGGGTACCAGGGGAGCAGATGACAGGAGACACCAGCGAAGATGCCAGGGTTCTAGCCAGGATGGGTAGGTTGAGAGGAGGAGCAGGTTTGAAGGAAAGAAAGATGACCTTGATTTAAACATAAAGCTATTTAAAGCTAAATAGCTTTATTAGGCTTCACAGATGTTGCTTTTTTTTACAAATAGAAAATGTTACACATGTTTACAAATTTACTTCCTTCACCAGCAAAAGCATTACGACTCGCTTTATTGCAATATTCACTTACTTGCTGTGGTTAGGAACCGAACCCGCAATATCTCCGAGGTAGGCCTGTACTTGAGTTTAACGTGAGAGTAACACATCTCAATAGAAATAGATGTCCAGGAGATGATTCAAAATGTGGATCTTGATTCTGGGAACCGTTTGCAGGGCAATGATTGGAAGCCATGGGAGGATGCCACCAACTCTTCAATGTGACTGAATGACCGGCCTCTGAGGTCCTAAGAATGCTAAGGGTTGGGAGCAATGCAACAAGAAGACGGGATGGTGAGAGTAAGCCCTGGAACCAACAGACATGGGAGTCTGTGGCTGCCCCTTAGAGGTGTCGGATGGAGATCCTGATTTCAAAGTTGCTGCCGGTAGAAGGTTGCAGCTTCATCCCTGGTCTCAGCATCAGTTCTAGGCCCTGGCTCTGGCAGGAAGCCAACCCACTTCCTCTCTAGGTTGTCCTGGCCACTGATGTAGGCTTTCTTTCTCTGTTCTTTCCCCTCTTCTCTCCCTCGGGAGGCCTCTGGCAACCTGAGGAGTCATCCCAGCCATCTCGTCACTTCCCAGTTGTCACCCATCCCTTTGCCTGCCCCCTTAAGTTTAAAAACCGGTTATATTTTAAGTGTGTCAAGTCAGAAATGTTGGCTTTGAAATACAATTGCAGTATGTTACATATCATTTAGTCCTATAATTAGGGGCCAAGACCTCGGGGCTGACAGGGATGTCTGTGAAACATCAAATAAATCAGTGGCTCTGGGTTCACTGGGGAGGCCCGAGGCGTTGGGCAAGAGGCTGTAGGGGAAACTAAGATGAGGGAGAATGCCATGGTGGCTGCAGTGGTAGTATTGGCAGATGGCCACAAATTTCCAAAGCAATTGGAATTCTTGAGGTCAGCTAGGCTAAGTCCCTGGGGCACTAGGACAGTATCTATTTTATAACCACTCCAAGATGAGGAATTTCCAAGGGTCTAGTGCCAATGGGCAATCTTGGCTCTACGACGTAACTCATTCAGTCGACCATCACTGAACAACGAGCTCGTGCCCAGGGCGGGCCAGGGGACACCAGTAGTAGTAAGGAACATTTTATCTAAGCATCTGTCAGAAGATAAATATTGAGAGGGGGAAAAGGGGGGAATAATATGAATTAGGCCGTGAGTCATGCAAACCCAGATGGGAATTCAAACTTGTGGGGACTCTTGAGCAAAAGTCTACTCCTCCTCTCAAATGCATACATTTCCTTTTCCTTCCAACCCTTCTACAGGTGCAATACTTTAGGTACCAACCTCCCTGGACTCAGGGTTCAGTCCCCTTCTCCCAGGTCTGGTTGATTTCTTCTCCTGAGTCTAATTCGAAACTCATCTTTTCCTTGAAAATGTCACACTAATCACAAAGATTAAGCTGCACATGTGCCCCCTCCAGATCCTCTCCCTCCTCCAATTCTTCACAGGATGAGGCTGTGCCTGTCCCATTTCCCACATACTCTTCTACCCAAGCTGTTTTCAAGCTTTATTTGTTCTTAGCTGGGTCTAGTTTTGTCCTGGAGACCATTTTTGTTTCAGTTTCTCTAGGCACCAGGCCAAGTGACCCATTCAAGGCTGAAAAAGTCTCAGTGACCTAGGCACAGGAAGTTGTGGGAGGTGAAGGACATTTCTGGATGGCTCTAAAATACATCCTTTTCCTCTTGTCCCTGACCCAGGACAGCCTACTGAGATCAAATAAATCAGTGGCTCTGGGTTCATTGATCAGAGGAAAGAGAATCAGGTAACACGGTCTCTAACAGGTCGTAGGACTGTGGTCAAAACAATTGCCTCCTGGGCCTGTTTCCTTCTTTATAAAACGATCTTGGAGGCACCCTTCCGCTCTGACAGTCTAGGAAGCCTGGCACCTGGCTCCGCGGGTTCAGGACGGGCTTGGAAATCTGAAGCACCTCATGCCATTGGCAGTCTGGAAAGTCTGCTTTCCAGGATCTAGTTCTGTTCCAGTCGTAGCTCTAAGATCTGCTTGGACCTGAATCTGCTTCAGATTTCCAGGGGACATGAAGCCTAATGTGTGTAATCCTTTAAGACCTAGACCCTTGTTCTCGCCGAGCAGAGCTGGGAACAGACTGGCCCCTCGAGGAAACACATTCTGGGGTTTCAAGGTTATGTGGAGGGGACATGGGCTTGGGATTCTAAATAGGAAACCTCTGGGAAATACTGGGTGAGGGCTGGGGTGAGTGGGGAGGCCAGAGGAGCCAGGACTAGGGAAGGCAGAGGCTGAGCTTAGGAGTTACTGGACCAGAGCATGGCGGACACGCTGGTGACGGTCCCAGGCCAGGAAGGCCACGCTGGGCGAGCGCACACCAGCGCACTGTGCACACAGGCGGCACTGGTCCCCCACCCGCTGCCCGGCCCCATGGGAACGCCTGTGGTTTTCTTTGGCTCAGGAGCAGCAGCGTCCCCTGAGCCCGGGCCCCTCTACCGCAAAGCAACTGGCTTCCATTACCCCTGTCAGCTCCGGCCCAGCCCCCCGCCCAGCCTGGCTCCGTGCCGTTCCCTTTTATGGTGAAGCGAGGACGGGGAAGCCAGGGGTGAGGGCGGAGTGAGCAGCTGCTGGCTGGGCAGCGGGCTAGAGCCCCAGCGGCTTCTCCCCTCACCGGACCCCGACAACACCCCGTCATCTTTCTCCTTCCTCCTCGTGACCCTACTCTGCTCGGAACCCACGGCCCCTCCGGCTTATCCCGGCCATTCCTCCCCGCTCCCTCCCTCACATCCGGGGGGTGATTTCCCACTTGGCCGAAGTCCCACGATTTGGGGTTAGATTTCGGAGGGTTCGCCCTATTTCCGACGCCTACCCTGGGGGTGGGGGTGGGGAGAGCCAGGGTAAGGGAGGCGCTGGTCAGGTAGGGTACGGGGCGCAAGGGCTGGCTCCGAGGAGAGCAGCACCCAGTTGTTTCCATTCGGCACCACCTATCATCCCTCACCCCACTGCTGGGCCAGGCAGGGGATCTGAGGGCAGGGACCAAAGGAAGCACCTGGCCGGCCGGGCCGGGCCG